GCTCTCCCCAGGCTCAGGCAAGCCGCGTACTCCTCAGGAGAGGTAAAGAGGCGGCCGGGGGGGGGGGGGTGGGTTGGGGGGTAGGGCTAGCTGGGAAAGCTGCGGCAGGTCGCCCGGCGTTGGAAATGCCGCGCAGAGGTACTTATTTGCTGAAGCACGCGCCACTGACCACGTATAGTGGATGAAAATTTGATAAAGTTCAGAATGATCTCTCGTGGAGGCATTTCTAGCGTTGACAATTCTGCGTTAAGCAGGTGATGTTCTATCAGCTGTTTCAGAATCTACCCAGACAATATGTATCTAGTTATATCGTTAAAACCATTGCTGTGACACTTGCTCCTCCTCCCTGTCAGCTACTTCACATTTTGTCTGGCATTAGATGAACTTAAGCAACATTATATGCTAATCACCTGTAACACTCATTTTACAGTTCGGTTATTTCTGAATTATGAATGCGTAACATTTTCATAAACCCACATTTACTGTAAACTTTTTTTAAGGGTTCTTACACTGAAACCTTACATGTGAAGTTTCCACTTCAATATGCTTTTCTGTACAGAAAAGTTAGAGACCTACTGCACCATATAACGCAGTAATGGAAGCATTGACACGGTTTTAGTTATGATACTGGGCAGAGCAATTGCAAGATGACAGTGTTTAAAAGCAAAGTTATGGCTAAGGATGCAATAATTTATTTCCCATTTTAATACTTCTACAAAATTTAATTTGTGTTCCAAGAAAGAAAAAAAGTAAAGGCAAAGAGTAATCTGGTTTCAATTACATGCTGTAGAATCGTTAGTAGGCCAGAGAATAATTTGAAATATTTTCTTATTGGGGCAGCCCTGTAGGAACATGAAGCATACAGGATTTTATTGCTTCTTTCCTGGTTCAGTGACTTGAAAGATGAATTAAAATAGGCATTTGTTTTATCTGGGTACTGTAAAAAATGTTTTTCTATTCCACATATGCTTTCCAATGATGTTTGTATGTATGTGTTGATCAAGGCTTCCTAAACTGATTAGAGATAATGGATACTTTTTGACTGGAATATCAGATACTTTTGAAAAAATGCCTCAAATTGGGCACTGATGTATCAAGGTACCCCCAAACTGATAGTTTGTATGTCCAAATCGTGGCCAGTTTTGGCTAACCTGCACTATTTGCACCATATCATTTTTTCTCATATGAATGACATATGACTAAATTAAACTAGTTTTTACTCACACACGTAATATTTACCTTCCAGTTGGCATGCTGTCAGTAAAGATTTGTAGGACTGGACCTGAAGGTTGCATTACACGTTACCATTAGTTGAGATTCACAAACTAAGGATGTAGCTTAATGAGCATAAATATCTCTCTTCAAGCGTGATAAAGTTTTGAATGCCAATTTATCTTATTTTCTTTTCCTAAGTTTGCATAGTTACACAGCAGACAGCCCTCTGTTGAGGCAGACGTTATTAAAAATATAGTCAAAGAAATTTAAAGCATTGCTTACGGTATCATTAAATATATTGCAAATAGCGGTAAGCCGTGTCTGCCAATTATACCATAAAAAATGGCTTGCGTAGTACTAGACTTTCCCCTAAGTACCACATAGCTCAGGATTTGTACTAAGTACTAAAATAACCAGAATCAACAGGAGAATGTTAACTTAAAGTGAAGCAGTAAAGCTAGCATCTGCAGGGGGAATGAATTGGATTTCACAATGTGTGCGTGTCATAGAGTTTGTACGAACAGCATCGGGTAAAGGTTTCTGTTCCTTAAATTTTGCTGCTATTTGCTGTTGGTGAAGTCGGATAGCAATCTTCCTCCAAAAGGCTTCAACAATTTTTTCACTGTAAGTGGTTTAAACAGAGTACTTGCTTTTTACCCTACATAATTCTCTTTTTCAGACTTTGGATGGCTTTGTTTTCGTGGTAGCATCAGATGGCAAAATAATGTACATCTCAGAAACAGCATCTGTACATCTTGGCTTATCTCAGGTATGAGTGATTTATTCTGCCTATCTGTTAAATACAGATGCTGGATTTGGAACCTAACGCTAGGATCTTGCCATGTATGCAATGTCATTGTTTTTTAGGGGTATTTGAAGCTTCAACTTTGTTCTCCGACAAATGGCCTTACTTAAATATTCAAGTTTCCTTCACTTACAACCACATCATGACTATCTTTATATCTTTTCTTGTTTATTGTAATTTACTCCTCATTACCTTTAAGAAGGGTAATAAATAATATGATATTGCAAATTGCAGATATATACAGAGCTTGAAACCCAGAGCTATTGCCTGTGTGGTAATGCTATACGTCTGAAATAAAGTTTAGAATTCAGGTCTATATGTTTTAGATTGTGTAAGATATTGAGACTTGCTATGAAATAGAGAGGAAATCTGATGTGGAACATGAGTTTTATGGTAAATGTGCTTTAGGAAAAAAAGAAAAGGGGGGCAGATTTATGAGTGTTCACATGGAATTCAGGGTAGTTTTTCCTGAGTTTTTCCAGCTCAGTGGTCTTTTCAGTAAAGCGTTTTATATGGTTGTGATAGAACTCATAAAACTCAGTTTACTACTGTTCTGCACAAGAAGTATAAGGGTTTTTTTATTGGTTTTTTTCTTAGAAGGACATTTCTAATTTTTTACCTTCTTGGGATAGGCACAAGGGCAAACAGCCTGAATTTATTGCAGAGTGCAAGCTTCCATACATTTGTGTGTAAATGTATTACACAAATTCATCGGTAGCACCTGACCTAAAGGTTGCCAAAGTCCAGTAGAAAAACTCCTAATTAATTTCACTGGGCCCTGGATGAGACTTGCGAGAAACAGAACTGTTTCTTCAGAACCAGTTGCAGCTCAAACACTTCTCAGAGTTAACTAAAGTGAAATAAAGACTTAGTAGCAGAGGGAAGAAAAATGAGATGAAGGTGAGAGAGCACAGGATGTTCTGAAAATGTCTGGGGAATATGCCCTGCGGCTGTTCCAATAAATGGAGAAGGGGCTGAGTTGTGGAGATTATATGTGTACTTTAACTTTGGTAGCAACATATTTCTAATTGAAAAATTGTGAAGTCCTTTGGATGTGTGTTTATAATAGCAGTATTAGAATTAGTAGCTGTGAGAAAAAAAAATAGAACTCTAAATAGCTAGAAAAAGGAAGTATATAATCTCATAAACACCACTTCTAAATCCAAAGGCAACTACAATCCCTGGTTTTGTAATCTCTTTTAGTAAAAGTAATTTTGAGAATCAATATTCTGTGTGGATACTTTTTTCCTGCCAACTTTAAAAAATGTGTCCAGGGAACATTCTTAGTTCAAGCAGCTTGTTCAATTGAGTCTCTTACAGTATAGTCTTAGTTGCTTCATAACATTTAATGCATGTTCAAATTCCTTTAAATATTGCTTTGTTTTAGAATAAATTTTCCTAGAGAACGGCCATATTTTCTATTCTGAATCAACAGCATTATTAGATGTTTTTCTCACCCCAACTTTTGAAAAGATCCACTATGCTGCTGGCTGCTTAAATAGTTTCATTTAGTCAGTACAATTATTCCAAAGCACTGAGTGTTCCCATCTGTCCTTGCTAAAGTAGAGCTTCATTGTCCCATGCTGCTTGCTGTTTGATAAGTGCTAACTGATCTTAAAGGTTTTGTCCAGAAATTGTTTCTTTGTTTTCTTTCTTTTTGAGGAATAGCGAGTCATCAGATCTTGTAGGTTTCACTATTATCCAGTCATCTGGTGAAATTAAAGAACTGCAGGATCAGTAGGGCACTAAATAGACTTGGCCACATTCAAGGAGAAGGGACTGAAAGTGTCATACAGGCTTTAGTCATATTTAGCCTTCATGCCCTCATGGCCCTCTGCACAGACTGAATTCCATGTGCATTGCACATGTAAATGTCTATAAACCCTTAGTGCAAGAGGTGCCACGGAAAACTAGGTGATTTGGTCATATTGCTTATTGAAGTAAATATAATAAGCAAAATCACAAATATTTCAATTTAGCAGATATTTGTAAATGAATGTGCTGTATCCTTGAACTCCCCAGAAAGATACAGATTGGAGAGAACAGAGGGATGTGAAATTTAAGGGCATGTTTTAAACTCTCAAAGTGCTCAGGAGTTTCACAGCACAGTTTTTTATTTATAAATACAAATCCCCAGCTAAACAAGACAGTATTTTTTTCCCCTCTTTCCTCATACTGTTTTATCATCTATTCTTGTTGTTTCTCAATGCTCTATTTTTGAAGGGACAATTTTGCTTTAAGTAGTACTAGCATTAATACTAGGCTACTCCTACGTACTAGGATATTAATACATTAACACTAGGGTATTCCTGTAAGCTTCCTAGGGCTCTAAATGAGTTCTTGTTCCTACTTCTCTGGAAATCACTGGGATTTTTGCCACTGACATCAACAAGAATGAGATTGGTCTGTAGAAGCAAATCCTGCAAGTCTCCCTCACCAAGTCATAATCCCACACTATATTTTCAACAAGTGCTCTTATAGAGCTCCAGCCAATACAAGCTGAGACCAGAGTGATGATGATTGTAGAAAATCTTTTAGAGTGTGCATAGAAAGGCCTTTTTATTAAATAATTTGACAATTAACTAGTCCACACATCAATTTCCAGTTAAAGTGCAATTTGTTTAAAAAGATATATTTAAACTAAATAAAAAGTCCATTTAAAAATATTTTGCAGGATATTCTTGGAGACCTACTACAGTAGCCTTTATCTACCAGTTGATCTTGAATTTAACTTCAGCAGAAAGAAATTAGAGCTCCTGAATAACCCTTCACTGGCTGGTGTACTTCAGCTAGTTTAAAATTTAAGAACAACATTAAGGATTGTTTTCCAGTACTACTACACTCACTTCTGTCTGCAGCATCAGAAAATCAGAAAAAATATTTCTGAAAAGGCTACATCCTCATTTGTGGACCTATCACTTGATTTTGTGGCTTTGGATTTTGATCTTCCTTTGCTCTCAACTGTAACAGTAAATACTGTAAATACTGATGGGTAGGACCCCTTCCTCCATCTAATTTCAACTGGCCCCAGACCAGTGTTAAACTGACTTGTACTAGCTGAGAGAGCCAGTTTCTTGCCTTTTCTTTTTCCATGGATAACAAATAGGTTCAAATTCCCCAAATATTTTTTCCCCTTAGGTTCCAAAGACACAGAATGGAGAGGACAATCCTCTCGGGAAACAATGGTGAAAGATATATTTTTTCAAATTTTGAAAGTCTGGAGCTTATTCCAGCCATTTTCTGGGTCCATGAGGGAGCCAAGCTTATCTTTAACTTTTGATAAGTCTTGAAATATTTAACCACAAACATCTGAACTTTTCCAAGAGTTTATTTTACTTTCATCAAATAAATATATGAAAGGCAAAATATGTAATTATTTGCTCTAGAATCCATCTACTTAGTCCTCCGTTTATTATGAATTGTTTCTTGGCAGCAAAAAAATGTGCAGCTGAGTTACACATAAAAAACCTCTTAGTAGGAAACAGCGATATTTGGTAGTAAGCAGGTATTTACAGATATTAAAAAGCTGCATCAAGGAAGCTGGTTTAATAAGACTGAGGCATGGGGTTTTAGAAGGTTTATGAATTGAACTACATAATTTATTTTTTTAAGTTTTCAGTGTTTCATTGTAGGCTTTAAAATAGCATGCATGCACTATGCATAGCAGGAGACTGTGGTCAGTTTCAAAATTATGTATACATATTTTGGTTATTTGACTCTTACATAGCCCCCATCTCCTTGCTGACGGCTTTATGTTTCCACTTGCATTTTTACAGTCAATTTTGGTTTCAGTGTTGTATGTTCACCTCCCGCTGATTTTGCTGGGGTTGCAGATGCATACATCAGAGTAGAAAATATTCCTATGTGTATAACCAGAAAAAATAGTTATTACTTTGACAAAGCACTTTAGTTTTGAATTTTAGTTATAAGCCCTGGGATACAAATTACAGTTTGGATAAAACTGTGACCTTGTGTCCAGTCCTGTGAATCCTGTGCGTGTCCTTTTGAAATAGGTAGTGACTTTAGGAAAAGCAAGAGACACCCATGAGTTATACTTTGTAAGAGAGTAGATGGATGTTGATGTGGTTATGATTATACTCGGTAACAGCAGAGATGCAACAAGAGCTTTTAGATTACTACAGTTGATGATGCTAGTCAGGTTGGTTGGTGTTGTTTCTGTAAGAACGTCTTTATATTGAAGGGAGGGAGAGATTGTTTGCACATGGCCACCCATGAATGATTTTTTTTTTTTTTTGAAACTGTACTCTCTGATACAATTTTAGTTTCAAAGGCAAAGCATACTCTTCAGTAAAATTCCTATTAGCTAAAGATAAAATAGTAACAACAGGGTCATAACCGATACTCCCTTTTCGTTTGAACACTGACCACAGCTGTCCTTTTTTGCAGTGATAATTTTTTTTGTGTTCTGGTTTACTAGGCATATAGGACAATGAAATGCCCATCACCATAAGAATTATTAGATTTTTAAAAAATCAGGTTTATGTGTCTGTAGGCGATTTACAGAGTTAGCTATGGACATTTACAATGTGTTTTTCCCATGTAATGAAAAACAAACAGATGCATTGAGAAACATGACTTAGAGTGAGATTGTATATTCTCCTTCCTCCCCCCCTGCCCCCCAAAGCTTGAATATGGGGTGTTGCTATAACAGGTCCCCACCTGTTACAGTCCTGAAATGGAACAGCCAGTGCTTTTTAAGGAGAACTTTTAGAGAAAATTTCATAAATGAAGCAATGTAGGTAATCTCCTTTCCCTTCCCCTTTCCCTTTCCCTTCCCCTTCCCTTTCCCTTTCCCTTTCCTTTCCCCTTTCCCCTTTCCCCTTTCCCCTTTCCCCTTTCCCCTTCCCCTTTTCTCTCTCTCCCTCTTGTCGTCTCTCTTTATTTTCTTCCTCTTTCTCTCTGCCTTTCCCCCTCTCTTTCTTTTTTTTCCTCTCTCCACCTCTCCTTCTTTCTCTTTTTTTTTCCCTTATTCAGTGAAATTTTATTCTGCTTAGATTATCAAATCAGTGTTGTTTTTTTCATTTTTGCAGGGAAGGGTTGTTGGAAAGAAGCAGTGGGGAATAGATGGCTAGAAAAAAAGTTAGTTTGCATAGTCTTGGGAAGAGACATTCCATGAATAATGCAGAAAATGGAATGATGAGAAACATTTTCGGAAAAAGATTGCTTTGTGGGCTAGACAACTTCATTTATTCCAAAGAAAAGGCAACTCACACATCTTAGTAAATCAGTAGGATTGCCTCAGAATAATAGGTTAAATTACTTCACCTCTCAGCTGTCTCTGATCTTAGGGGCCCAAGGCACATCAGGCCACACTGAACAATTGGGCAGCCTGACACTAATTTAAAACACAGGCTCAAAGTATTGGTTCACTCCTTAAATCAATTACTGCATCTATCTGGAGACTTTTGTTGGTGAGTTTTATACGTGGCAAATAGAGTTAGCAAAAAGGACATACGGTGCATGCCATTCATTTTTTTGTGCAACAGTTATTATGGGTACAACAGTGGGAAAGACAGAAATACATTCTTGCGTGAGCAAAGTTCAAGTGAGAAGGGGGAATACACAGATATTTAAGACAGATCTAGTCTTTACTGTGCATGTTTACTTAAAGCAGCGAAGGCTCAATCCAGTGCCCATGAAAATCTATGGATGTCTGCCTTTTGAATTCACTGGCTACTGTTCTGTGCCCTTTGCACTGCTGTGGATTGAGTGTGGTGGATCATCTTTGAAAAGACACAAAAGAATTGTCTACGTCTAGTGGTTTGGCTCTGAAGGCTCAGCTGCCAGCTGAATGCAGGTGATAGTTTCTGGGAACCTGTAGAAACTTTTTTTTTTTTTGATATCTGTCTTCTTGAGGGACATTAATACAGTTCACAGAGATTTTATCCCATTTTGTGGCAATCTAACATTTCTACAGCTGCTCTAGTTTATCATTTCATTTGCCAGCTCTCTGTAATAGCAGCTCTTCTGTATCCGGATCATCACCAGAAATTCCCACAAAAGCGCCTATAATATTAGTTACTGCCAAAGAAGGAATTCATTCAGTTTAATGGGTATAATTTGGAACACGGTTTTGATATTTTGATACACTCAACTTACGCTTTAAAAATGATGTGTAGTTACCCAGATGCAGTGCATGCAGGTTATTTAAGAGCACTTTGGGGATAGGAAAAAACAAGTCAGCTGCACTGCTTTATGTGTCACATGTCTCTTCACAGGTGGAGCTTACTGGTAATAGCATTTATGAGTACATACATCCTTCTGATCATGATGAGATGACAGCTGTTCTTACTGCTCACCAGCCTCTTCATCCTCATCTCTTACAAGGTACTTGTGTGATCTGTGATCAAACTAGCATTGAAAAACTAGAAGAAGTAACAATGCTAGGCTGAAATGTGACAAGTTCATATTTACCTGATATGAAGCTACGTACACAAATGGAGGAGGAGCATGAACTTGAAACTGTGACCTGGCATTTTGGTTTGTTGTAGTAAAGGGAATAAGGTATCCTCGATTAAATAATGCTTTTAATGACAAGGAATCCATGCAGTTCTAAACAGGTCTGCGCAGTATTAGTGGAGAAAAAAAAAAGGAATAATATGTTAGGCAATTGGGAAATAGGAGGACACTTTTAATGTTTCAAAAGCAACTGTTAAATTTGAAGCTTGGACAAAAAAAACAGATCTACTACCCTCCACTGTAGGAAGAGCAAAAACGGGCTTTGCAAATGACCTACATTTAGAAACTCTCATTAAAAAGTGATCTCTCCAGGAAAATAATGTCCTCTTGCCTTGATACTGAATTATTGATTCACCAAGCCTCTCCACACATCCTGTTCAGGTGCTGCAGATGATTCACCCACGCGTACCCATACAGCATGGTGCTAAGCTGGATGGAGTGTCAGGGAAGACAGCAGAACTTACTGATTATATGAACGCCTGGATCAGACTGTCCACCCTGGCTGTGGTTATTAACATAACCCTTGTTTATTAAGTTGTTACTTCAGTGCTGTAATTACTATATAACTAACAAAGATATGCTCATCTTTGCACTGTCTTCTTTGGTAGCTTTTGTTTCCTTGGGGGCAGTTCTCTGAAATAACCTGGCTCCATCATGTACTATGTACTTTCATATGTATTTCATAACTGCTTAATCAGTTAGAGCTCACATCCTGCTAGTTTTTACTGGCCTTCTTAAGGCACAGCTCCAAAAAGCATGAGGAGCTTTGGGTTTGCACTACAATTCTGTTTAGGATCAGGCATTTTTTTTTTTTTTCCACAGTTCTGGTGCCTGTGCATTTTTTGTACTTGGTGATCTCACCACAGTTCTGACTGCTGTGGTTCCATCAGCACAGAACCATGTACCCTCTGCATGCAGGGAAGTTTAATGTTCCTGGAAGCGTACATACTGCTCTTAGTGGTGTAAATGGAAGAATTATCTTATCTTCCTTCTCTCTTCTTCTTCACCAAACAGGTTGTCTTGTGTACCCCTTGGTGTCTTGAAAAACAAACTCTTATTTTTCTTGCA